TTTATATAAAATAAAATTAAAATATTAAACAAAAAAAATTATTTAAAAGAAATAAATTTTAAAATACTAAATAAAGACTAATTTGAAAAGTTGATTTTTTTTTGAAAAAAAATTATTAATTCATTTTTAAACTTTTTTGTATAGTTTTTAAATTTTATGAATATCTTTGTTAAATTTTAAAATGTAATTTTTATTTGAATGTACTAATAAAAACTTAAAAACTGCAGGTTTAAATTATTAAACCGATTAATTTTATTAATAATTTATGCTAATTATATTTATAAATTATATTCAATATATTTATAAATTATATTTAATATATTAATAATTTAGGCGGAATAAAGACTTATCTGGTTGAGTTACCTTGTTTGGGTCAAGGAGATTGGTGTTCAAATCGCCATATTCCGAATTTATTAATTAAATTATTCAAAGAGTTCAATTTTCTTAAGTCTTAGCCTAAACAATAGGCTGTGAAACTTGTTCTAAAATTTAATTGAAGGTCTTTTACTACCCCCCAACCGCACATCAAAATTGGATAATAATTTTACAATTCCTAATAATTTTACAATTCCTAATAATTTAACAATTCCTAATAATTTTACAATCCCTAATTAATCAAACATCTAAAAATTGAATAATAATTTTATTCAATTCTTTTTAAATTAAGTTTGTAATCTTTTCCCTGCAGCCTATTAAAGGGTTAGGTTTTAACAATAAATTGTTTAACCCTCAAAATAACAAGGCATGCTTCGCAAAGCATATTTTTAATTTAAAAAAGGAAAAACGTATATTCTAAGCCTACATTGTAAGTGTTTTAAATTAATATTTTAAATTTTAATTACTTAGTTAATGTCTTTATTTAAAAATAGAGGTAGGGCCCCCCTTAACAGAGAAAGTTTTAATAAAAAATTTGTTATTAAAACTAAGGTTGTTAATAATAATCTTAAATTTCTATCGTATGCTAAAAAAATGTTTACATTTTTCAACTGCTGTAAACAATAATTTAAAATTACAATTAATATAATCTTAACTCTCATGTTAACAAAAATAAAAACAAAATTATCAAAAAAAATGCATCCAAACTACATTTCTGGATTCGCCGACGGTGAATCATCATTTACTTATTCTGTTGTTCGAGCAACAACTAAAATTGGTTGGACTGTAAATTTAGCTTTTACTTTAGTTGCTGCAAACAATCCAGCTAATGAAGAACAATTTAAATTAATACAAAACTTTTTCGGCGGTATTGGTTCAATTATCTATGTTCCGGTAAAAGCCAATAACAAAGCTGTTATATATTATAGAGTTCAAGGCCTTTCAGACTGTTTAGTTATTAGAAACCATTTGTTAAATTTCCCTTTGCTAACATATAAACTGGTTCATTTTCAACTTTGATGTAAAGTTATTGATTTAATGACTAATAAAGAACACCTAACAATGGCAGGTCTTAATAAAATCGTCGCGTTAAAAGAGCACTCACCAAATGGTGTCTCTCCAAAATTGCAAGTTGCTTTTCCGAGTTGAGTTAATTATCGAGTTGATTGCCCTGATTATATTCCAAATCTTTCAATAATGAACATTCATTGAATAGCTGGCTTTACTCAGGCGGATGGGACTTTTGGAGCTTATGTTTATAAATACAAAACTGGATTCAGTGTAAAAACGAGAATTCAAATAACTCAGCACAGTAATAGTATAATTGTTTTAAAAAAAATCAAAGACTTTTTAGGAGTTGGGCGAGTGCAACTTAGAAAATCAAAAAATGCGGCTGATTTAAACATTCAAAGTTTAAAGGAATTAAATGCTTTTTATTAAACAATTTCAATCTACATCCCTCTTCGGCGCCAAAGAGCTTGACTATCTAGCATTTTGTAAAATAATCGCTATGATGAACGATGGTGCTCACCTAAATAATGAAGGCTTACAAGAAATTAAACAAATTCAAAACACTATGAACTCCAAACGAACTGAATTTTTTAAATCAGAATAATTTTTTTATTTTTCTTTAAAACAATTCTATTTTAATTTTAATCAATAAATTTTAACCAGATTAATTTTTTAATGCACCACCATTCAATATATTGAGTTAAAAAAAAAACTCACTAAAAAAAAATAACTTCAATTATTCAATAATTAAATTTATAATAACCACAATACCTATCAAAGACTATAGCATATGGTAATGCATTATTTAATTTATTAATTAAATTTCTCAAAGAGTTCAATTCTCTTAAGTCTTTTAAAACAAGTTTTGCACCCTTTTAAATATATTTTTTTTACAACAACAACTTAAAAAACGGGTACTACGGCAAAACGGTTATGCGAAGCACTTTTAATGCTCTTTTTTTTTGCGTTCAAATCGCAATATTCCGAAAATTTATTAATAAAATATTTTACTATTGCAACATTGTGTAAAGTTAGCCCGGCTCCGCCTTAAAAATAAACATAAAAATAATTAAATTTAGGTAATAAACATTGATTGAACTTTAAATTTTCTTCTTTTTTCTAATAAAAATATTAATTTATTTTTTACCTTCCAAAAATTTTTTTTTTAATTAAAAAAAAATTAATAAATTTTATAATATTTTTTAATTAAAAAAGCTCCTGCCTGCCGATAGGCCAGAGGCTAATAGCTAATAAAAATTAAGGTCTTAGTAAGTTTTTGTTTTTAAATTATTTATTATTAATAAAAATCTTATTAATTAAATTAATTATATTAATTAATTTTGAAGCGAACCATAATTGAAATAAAAATAATTTTTTAAAATATTTATTTTTAAGGGTTAAAAAATATTAAATTTTTTAAAATATTTATTTTTAAGGATTAAATAATATTGAAATTATTTATATTTTATTCTTAATATTTTTTAAAATTTATTTAAATTATTTTTTTCATTAATTACAAAAATTATAAAAATTATTTTAATTATAAATAATAATTTACTTATACTTTTAATATAATACCCCTTAATAGAATAGGTTGCTCATTTTTCATATTGTAGTAAAACATAAATATTTTTATAAATAAATATAATTAAAAAAAACAAGGTGCTGCAAAAATTTTTAAAATATAAAATAATATATTTAGACTATAAACAACTAAACATCAAAATAAAAGCTTAGAAAAAATCTAAAATAAAAACAATTAAGTTTAAATGATAATATTAATATAAACCTTAATACATTACAGGTTTTTTAGTAGGAGATTATTAGTATAAAAAAATTAAAATAAAATAATGTGATCTTAATAGTTCCATAAAAAATTAAATTAAAAGATAAATTAGGTTTTTTTAATAATTACTATTTTAAAACACAATTCTACCAAATTTTATGCTTCTGCTTTTTTTTTTAAGTAGGAGCCGAGCAAGGCTGTCTTTAGCTTACTAGCTAAAGACAGCCTAAGCAGGAACAACGTAAAGTTTATTATTAATAAAGCAAAAAACCTACATTTTAAATATAAAAAAGTTTTTTAATTGAACTGAATTTTTACTCCTTTAAAACTAATAATTATATTTTTTTTGCTTGCACTTTTTTTTTTATATATAAATTATGCTCAAATTATAATTTAAATTTTTAGTGACATTATGGCAGATTGGTTATGCGGAGCACTGTTAATGCTCTTTAATAAGGTTCAATTCCTTATAATGTCTTATTTCTTATAATGTTTTATTCTTTATAATGTCTTATTCCTTATAATGTTTTATTCCTACTAATATCATAGTGCTACGGTCGTGTTAAAATAAAAATAAAAATAATAAATAATAAATAATAAATAATAAATAATAAATAATAAATAATAAATAATAAATAATAAATAATAAATAATAAATAATAAATAATAAATAATAAATAATAAATGTAAAGCTTTAAAAACTTAAAAAATAAAAATTATAAAAATATTATTTAATATTTAAAATTTTTAAGTTTATAAAAAAAAAACTATAAATTAAATTAAAAATTATAACATTTAAAATGCAAAAATTAAATTAACAAGCAAGAATAAATTTTTTCCATAATATAAATTATTAGTGAGCTTAATAAAATTATTTTACTTTTAAATTAAAATGAATTATTACTATTAATTATTAAATTATTATTATTAAAATTATTTTAAAATAAAAAAATTTATTAAACTTTTTTAAATTAAAATGCTTAAATGTATTAAAACTACATTAATTTTAATTATTTTGCCTGAATAACTAAAAATAAATTTTGATTTAAAAATATGCGTAGCACAAAAATAATCAAAGTATTGTTTAATAAATTTTTTAAAAAGTAAAATTAAAAATATTTTTTTATTACACAATTTATGGTAAATAATTAATGCGTAGCACCTTTAATAAACTTAAGTAAACTTTTATTTTTACTTAATTTGAATAATCTTGGCCTATTTTTTTTTTTTAATTAACAAAAAATAATATAGCTTGGTAATTTAATGTTTTATTTTTTTATAATAGTGAATATGCTGGAATTTGGTAGACAGGTGTGATTTAGGATCGCATGGATTATTCCGTAAGAGTTCAATTCTCTTTATTCATATTAAAAAATAATATTAATTATTTTTTTAATTATTTTTTTTTAATTTTTATCTTTAGACTTTTTTTAGTCTATTATATTAAATTAAAAACATTTTTTTAACATTCAATTTTAAAACCTCCTAAAAACCTTTTAATAATTTGCATAATTTTTTTTCTTTATAATTTTCTATTTCAAATCTTATTTTAAATTTTTTATTCTTTACAATTTTCTATTTCAAATCTTATTTTTAAATTTTTATTCAAACACTTTCTCTTTTTTATTTTTATTATAAATTATTTTAAACTAAGAATTTTTTTTAAGTAAAAATATTTATGTAAAGATTAATTATATTTTAATGATTAAAAAAAAAAGGTTTTTTTTACTCTTAATTAATATTGATAAAAAAAATAAAGTAAGAATAAAGTAGTTAAAAAAATAATAAATGAATTAAAATAAAAACAAGGCTGCGCTAGCGGAGCAAAGCACTCTTAGCTTAATGGTAAAGTAATTATTTTCGGCATAATTGATATTGGTTCAATTCCGATAGGGTGTTTTTAATGTTTAATGCAGTTTTACAAAAAAGCAAAATAATAAAATAATTTTTTTTTTCAATTATTTAATGGTGTTGCTTTTAATTGTTTTTTTTTTAATTTTTGTTTTTATTTTAAATTACCAAAACAGTTTTAGTATTTTAATTAATGGTTAAAGCTTATTTATAATATTTAGTTTTAATTAATAAAATTATAAAAGAAGTTTAGTTTTAATAAAATTAATTATTTTTTTTTTTATGTAGGCTAAATTTTTATTATTTTTTTTATTTAAAAATGAATATAAAAACAAGGCTGCGCTAGCGGAGCAAAACATTAAATTTAAAAGCATGCTTTTAAGCTTCAACTTTAATAATCAAGTTGTTCATTTTTTAAGCGTAGCTTTATTTTTAATTCTAAATATTTTATTAATAATATTTATTAAGAATTAAAAATAAAATAAATTTTTTATATTTTATATTTTTATTTTTGTGCTACGCATATTTTTTTATTTTTGTGCTACGCATATTTTTTTATTTTTGTGCTACGCATATTTTTTATTCTCTCTACAGAGTAAAAAATAGAATAAATAGTATAGGGTTCAAACAAAGAACTAAGCCTAAATATAAAATATAAAATACACAAAAAAAAAATTAGGAAATAAATAGAACTTATGTTGTTTTAAATATGCTACAAATTAAAAAAAATTTGGTTGCAATAGTGCAATAGCTTTTTTTTTAATATTTGGTCTTTAGAAGAGCATAATTTAATTTAACATTTTTAGATTTAGTTCATTATTGTAAAATTTAATTTTAAGTTTAATTTTAAGTTAAGGTAAAAATTTTATTATTCTATAAATTAAAAATGAGTATAGTTTAGTAGGAGAATATCGTGTTTCCACCACGAAGGCACAAGTGCGACTCTTGTTACTCATATTAAAAATTAATTTTTAATTATTATTTGGGGATTATTTTATTAAGTATAATAAATTATATAGTTTATAAAAAACCAATGTAAATAAAAAATTTTTTTTTTAATACTCACCCGTTTTATAAAGGCATGTTGAAATTTGGTAGACAAGCTGTTGTTAAAAGGTGATGCGTTTAGGTTAACCATTATTAAAAAGTGTTGTTTTTATTAATAGCTAAAGAACAAATAAATAAAAATTTTATACTAAAAGTAACGTGTGATAATATAGAATTTTAACACTAATTATTTTAAATTATTATTTTAACCCTTGGCTTGCTTTGCATTACAACTAGAACAGCAGCCTAAAACAAAATTATTTAAAAGCACCGCAATTGTTTAGCAAAGAAAAAAAAAAATCGGGTTTACATTTGTTTTAAGGCTCACCCTCAAAACATAAAACATAAAACATAAAACATAAAACATAAAACATAAAACATAAAATATAAAATATAAAATGGCCTGCGAATTAATTAAAATTTAATTAATTTTTTTTTTAATTAAGATTTTATTCCTACTTATTATTTTTATTAAGTAGTTGATTAGTTTCGTACGCTTGAATACCCTTAACAAAAATATAACAATAACATTTATTAAAAGGCATGTTGGAATTGGTAGACAAGCCATTTTTAAGCAGTGGTAGCAAACTATGCTGTGAGGATTCGAGTTCCTCTGCCTTTACAAAGTTTACAATTTAATGTTCTCGGACTTAATCTTTGAGTATAGTCTTAAAAAATTGTAGGCTTAATTCCTATTTAATCAAACATATAAAACCAAATAATAATTTTATTCGGTTCTTTTTTAATCCAGCTACTACAGGAAAAAAATCAAAAGGTATAAAGAACAGGATCCGAATAAAAAACTGCTCTTCTTTAAGGTAATTTAAACCGCCTGTTTATTTGAATTAAAAAAGGAAAAACGTATAATATAAGCCTGTTATTTTAAATTAATTTAATTTTTGCACTATAAAATTTTATAATAAGCAAAAAAAATTTTAAGTTTTTTTAAATTTTTACCTTTTAATTTAATTTTAAAAATTATAAACTTTATAATTTATGAAATTTAAAATATTTTAAGAGATAGGGCCCAATTTAATAGAGAAAGTTTTAAATTTAAAACTAAGGTTGTTAATAATAATTTTTTTTTTACTAAAAATAATATAATAGGCAATTTAAAATTATAATCAACATAATCTTAATTCTCATATTAAACCCAAAAACTTCAAATTTAATATTCTTATAAATAATAAAATTTATTTTTTCAAATAATAATTAAAAATTTATAAGAATAATTAAGATGATGAAGCAAATATTAATATAAAATGATAAAAATTTTTAAACCTTTGAAAATTAATATTAATCAAAGTGAGTTTGGATTAAACCCATATAAAAAGGAACAAAACACTAAATTAAATAAAATTCAAACCATTGATAAAATACTTAAAAACAAATCTAGTTTAGTTTCGGCTAGTTCTTTAAAATTTAAATTAGCAAAAATTGAACTTAAAAATAAACTTTTGCTTTTTTTAAATAAAAAAACTACAAACGGAGGTTTAGTAATAGGCACCCAAAAACAACAAAGTTTAACTAAAAAAATAAATAATAAAATGAATAATTCTTTAAATCAAAGTATAGTTTATAATTTTGCTAAAAATAATAATAAAATAATGGTCTTTGATAAACTTTTAAATAATAATAATAATAATAATAATAATAATCCTATTTTATTAACTTCTAGTATTTTAAAAAACATTAGTTTTTTAAAAAATAATAAAGAATTAATTAAAAAAACAATCATAAATATTAATCAAATAACTGCTTTATCTAAATTAATTAATTGAACTAAAAATAATGGTAATAATACAACTAAAAATAAAAATTTTAATTTAAATAATAAAAATCAATTAGGTATTGTAGCAAATATAAATAAAATATTAGTTTATTTTTTTAAATCATTATCATGCTTAATTTCTAAACCACAGTGAATTCATAAAAATAATAAATTATTAATTAGAATTTATTATTATCAAAACCAAAACCCTTCTATTTTACAACAAAATAATTCTTTATTAAATAATCTTTTAGATTTTAAAAATAAGAGTAATAAAAAAAGCTATACATTTTTAAAAAAAAATAATAAATTAATTACTAACGAAGTAGATTGCTCCGCTATTAAAAAAATGAATAAGTCTATTACAAAAAAATTATTAAATTTTTCTAATAATATAAATGAGCAGACCAAAATTACCATGAGTGATAAAGCACTTAAAAAAATAGCCTTAAATAATTTTATTAATATAATTAAAAAAACAATAACAGGTGCTTCAATTAAAAATGATTTATCTTGATTTTTTAATTTTTTATATTTTAATGCTAATTTAAATAAAAATAATCCAAATAAGAATATTATTCTTGCTAGTGCTATAAATAACGAAAAAAAAATTAATTACGGTAACAATTTAAATTCTCCTAAAAAATTAAATAAACATGAAGGAATTATACAAAAAATTATTTTAAATAGCACCAATAAAACTATGCTTTTTCCTTTTTCTTTTCCTTTTCCTTTTGTTTTAAAATCAATTTTAAAAAATAATAAAATGAATTTTAATCTAAAATTAATTAAATTAATAAATAAAACTATTAAATTAGGTTCTATTTCAAAAAATAATATTAATTTAAAAAATTTAAATAAAATTAAAATTAAACAAAAAATTAAAAATATTTTACTTGCTTACTATAATCCATTAAATTCAATTTCTTATAATAATAATTTAATTAAAAATAATTTAAATAAATTTAAAAAATTAGGTAAATTATTGTCTACAATTTTAAAAAAAAATATTGATCTTCAATTAATAAAAATGCCTAATATTGCTTTAGAACCTCGAATTTTAGCTCAAGTAATAAGTAAAAACTCTAAATTTAAAAAATCTCAGCATATTATTAAAAATTTAATGAAAAAAATAGTTATTATGCAAGCAAATTTATTATCTCGAGCACAAGAAAATTCTATTTTAGAATCTAACTCTAAACTTTACGGCTCAGCCTCGGTTTTAACATTAAACAAAAATCTTAATAATTTAATTGAAGCTAAAAATAAATTAACTGTAGGTCATATTAATGATTTTAATAAAAATATTAATACTCATCATACTAACCCCTTAACTCTCGCTAAAACTGTGGGACTGCAAATAAAATTTGCCGGTAGATTGCTAAGGGATAGAATGGTTCCTAAAAAAACCGTTAAAGTGGTAAGTGTAGGTAGCCTAAGTCGAGGTGCAGTAGGTCATTTAGAAAAATATTGCGTAACAAGCAAAAACAAAAGAGGTGCATTCTCAATTACTATTAAAATGGCTCATTCAAGAACTTACTCTACTTTAATAGAAAAAAACACAACCAATTCAAATTTATTAATTGAATAAAAAAAATTTTTTTAATAATGTTTGAAAAAATAAGTTTTAATACTAATACTAATACTAATGAAGTATTATGTAAAAACAATAAAAGTATTATAATTAATAAAATTAATTCCAATTATATTAAAGGATTTTCAGACGGTACATCGAGTTTTTTTTCTATTTATAAAAAAAATTAATTATAATAATAAGCAAAAAAATTTTTTTTAGGATTAGAAAAATTTTAATTAATAGAATTTATAGTATTTATTTTATTATTAATTATAATTATTTATTATAATTATATAATAAATATTAAAAATTAAAAAAAAACAAAACGCTCATAATACCTTAATTCTATTATATAATTTTAACATAGTAATATTTACCGTATTATCCTATTAATATATTAATAGAGTGGGGAGAAGCATTTTATTTAAACTAAAATTTTAAAGCCCCATACTCTAGTTTTATTTTATTTTTGTTTACAATTATTATAATTACATTTTTGTTTCAATAATTATTATTACATTTTTTTAAACATTAAATTTTTTTGACATTAAATTCTTAAACTTTCACAATGTTACAAGCTGCTAAATATTTAGGTGCTGGTCTAGCATGTTCTGGATTAATCGGAGCTGGTGCAGGAATCGGATTGATTTTCGCTGCATTAATCTCAGCTTCATCAAGAAATCCTGAGGCTAAAGGTCAAGCATTTACTTACGCAATCCTAGGTTTCGCTCAATTTATAAGGGCTAAGTTAAATAAACTTATATTGAATTAAATGCTAAAAATTTAATTTTATTGTATTATTTATAAAATAATACTTTTAAAAAATAATTAGCACCTTACTATATGGTAAGGTCAACGACTAAACATTCAGACATATAAACTAAAAATTTTTTTTTTAATTTTTAATTTTAAGTAAAGAAATAGTCTTTTTTAAATTTTACTTTTTTTTTTTGAATTAATAATAAGTTTTATTAATTTAAAATTTTATTTTATAATTTATTCATTTATAAAATAAAAATAATTTTTAAATAAATGCATAAAATGAATAAATAAAAAAAGTAATTTTTAAATTTGCTAGCCGAGGCTACAGGACTATTCGCTTTAATGATTGCATTCTTAGTATTATACTCATAAAAATTTTTTTTAATTAGTATGTTTTTGTAAACGTACTTAAAATGGGTATAAGTAAATAAACAAAAATTATAGTTTTAATTTAATTTATAATTATTATTAATTCTTATAATTTTTTTTTTTTACTAATGCTTATATTTATTATATTAAAAAAATATAATAAATATAATTTCAATTTTTCAATAATGAAATTTATAATAATATTTTCCCTCTCATTTTTTTTTAATTATAATTTTTACGCAATACTCACTCTTAAATGAAAAATCATTATTTTTTTAAATTTAAACTTTTAAAATATTTTAAGAGTTTAAGATTATTTCAAATTCTTAAATAATTATTTTTCTATAATTATAATTATAACCCTACCTGTAATTATATGTTATTTAAATTATATTAAATATATTTTTTTTATAGCAAATAATTATTTAAATTTTAAATTATATTTTTTTTAATTAAATTTAATAAAATTAAACTAATTTTAATTTAAAAAAATTTTAATAATTAAATAGTTTTTATTAATTGCTCCATTTTAATTTGTTTTACATTTTTTGTAAATAAAAAATTAAAAATAAAAAACATAAAAAAATATGCGTAGCACAAACATAAAAAAATAAAAATTAAAAAACCAAATTTAATTATTAATTTTAATAAATATTTATCTTAAATTAAATAATCTATTAATTAAATAAACTATTAATTAATTGTACTTTCTTAAATAAACTATTAATTAATTGTACTTTCTTAAATAAACTATTAATTAATTGTACTTTTTTTAAATAAAAAGCTAAAAATAAAAATACTTATAATTAAATAAACAAAAATAATTATTTTTAAATTTAAAAAAATAATATTTTTTTAAATACTCTTTAAAAGAAGGAACAATTTAGTTAATTAATACTTAAATTATTTAAAATTAAATTATTTAAAATTAAATTATATTCTAATTGTTATAAAAACTCTTTCTAATTTAATTTTTAAATCAATTTTTTTTTATATTTTTTTTTAGTATTTGCTAAAAAAAATAATTTAGGAAGGTTCAAGGTAAATTAAAAAAAAAATAATTATAAAAAAAGATAAATTAAAATAAATTAAAATGTTAATTAATAGTTTTTGCTCTTGAATAGTGAAAAGTTTTTACATTCACTATTGAGGTGATTTTATTATTTTTAAAACTTTTAATGCTTTTCTATTTTAATAACTAATTGTTTATTTTCTAATATATAAAATATTAAATATAAAAATAAAAAAACAAAAAAAAAAGAGTAGTATATAATTATTATTATTTTAAATTATTTAAATATTTTAAATATAATTAATTAAATCAGTATGTTTAGTCAATTAATCTATGAACAATTTTTTGTTTTATTTTTAATGCTTATTAGACCTAATTAAATTATTTTTAAATTTAGATAAATTTGAGTTTTAAAAAAGAATAAATAATTATTAATTTTCAATGCAAATTAATTTCTATAATTTTACCTATTAAAATTTTGATTAAATGAGTAAAAAAACAAAATTTGTCTTATAATTATACTAAATTTTCCTCTTTATTTTTAGACTTTTTATTTTTTTGCTTTAGCTTTTTATTTTTTTATGTTTGTGCTACGCTGCTACGCTGCTACGCTGCTACGCTGCTACGCATATTTTTTGTTTTGTATTTTTATAAAAAATACAAAGCATTTTAATTAAAAAAATTATAATATTAATTATTTTTTAAAACCTTAAAAAATTTGAATAATTTTAAATAATTTTAATATTAAGAAAAATTATTTATTTATGATTAATAAAAAGCATCTTAATTTAATTTATTAAAAAAAAATAATTATTTTAAATAATATTAAAAATTAAAAACAGCTTTATTTAAATAATATGAGCTTAAAATAAAATTTTATTTTAAAACCTTTATTTTAATTTGTTTTTTAAGTTTAATATGCTTAGCAGATTATATTAAAAATTATGGTAATTTTTTAGACTAAAATATAATCATGAGCTAAGCGGAGCAACGAACAATTTTCAATAGTATTATAAACAAACAAAAATTAAAATTAAAATAAAATTAAAATTAAAATTAAAATTAAAATTAAAATAAAAATTAAAATTAAAATTATAAATAAAAAATTTAATTTTTTATTTATGGTGTAGTGCAAGCAAGGCTGATTATAATAATTTAGGTTTAATAATTAAATTTATAAATTAATTTTATAAATTAATTTTATAAAATAAAAACTAAAAATAAAAAAAAAATTTGAATTAAAAGTATACTCAAAATTTTTATTATTATTATTGATTATTAAAAAAATATTAAGCGAAATAGTGTCAATTGGTAAAATACTAGCCTCATGAGCTAGGGTTATAGGTTCGAGTCCTGTTTTCGCTTTTTTTATTGGTTAGTAATTTTACAACATATTTGTTTAGTTTATTTTTTATTAATTTTTATTTAAAAAATTTTGAGTATACTTTTAATTCAAATTTTTAAATTTATATTTTAATATGCACCAGTCTTAGGTATTTAGTATTTAGTTTTAGTCTTTAAGTCTTTAATTCTTTAAGTCTTTAATATTTAATTTTATTCCTTAATTTTAAAAATTTAATCTTAAATTTTTAGCCTCTAAGCTTTATTTTTATGTTGATTTTATTAATCAATTATTAAACTAAAAATTTATTTTTTTAAGAGTAAACGAATAATAAATATATAAAACGAATAATAAATAAATAAAAAAGATTATACTACTTATTAATATTTATTGACCTTTAAATAAATATAAATTTATTTTTTTTAAGAATTTTTAATTAGGCAAACTTTTTTTAAAAATAAAAGCTAAAGCCAAAAATAATAAAACAAAAAATACACCTTGGCTTTAGCTTTTATTTATTGGTTTTAGCTTTTATTTAGTTATATTTAAAATTATATAAATTATAAGATTTAATTTTACACCTTTTTATACTTTTTCTCTTAATTTTAAGCTTGAATAGTTTTTAATAATAATTTAATTAAAAATCAAAATTTAATTGATTTTTAAATATTTTTTTTTTAAGTTTAAGCTTCCTGATTTATTAAAAAGTATATTAAATTTTTAATGTTTATTGCATTCTTAATATTTATATTAAAAAATAAATGCTCCGCTTATAAACTTTTTTTTCAAAGCTTAATAAAAATAAAAAGCCCTAATTTTAATTAAAAATTAAAATAAATAAAATTAAAATTAAAAACATAAAACTAATTAAAATAAAAAGGTCTTTTAGTATAATGGTTATTACTTCAATCCTTCACGTTGAAAACGCAAGTTCGATTCTTGTAAAGATCAAAAACAAGGCTAGGCATATTTTTTTTTTTTTGATTAGATTTTAATTTTTAATTATTTAAAAAAACTAAATTAATAATGCAAAAATTAATTGATGCTATTATTTAGCCTTATTTCTTATTTTAATTTTTGGAAGATTTATTTATTAAAAACAAAAATTAAGCTAAAACTTTAATTTTAATAATTAAAATATGTAATATTATTATTACAAAAACATAATTATATAATTTATACTTTATGTATAAAATTAAATACAATCTATTACACTTTTTATTATATTAAAAAAAAAATAAACAATTATTTCATTGGTCGGAATAGTTTAATGGTAAAATATTTACCTTGTAAGTAAAGGTTGTAGGTTCGATTCCTGCTTTCGACACATTATATGATTTTAATCTATTATTTTTAAAACGTTTATATTTTTAATTTTTAAAATTTTAAAATTTTACTTTACTAAACTATTTATAAAAAAAAAATAATTATAAAAGAAGATAAATTAAAATAAATTAAATTAAATTTAAATAAAATATTAATTAATAATTTTGAAAGTTTTTTATATTCACCGCTCGGAGATGAATAATTTTAATAAAATAAAATAAATATTAATTTTTAATACAAAAATAATTTTAATAATTTTACTTATTAAAATTATAAAATTTTATGCTCCGCTGTTCTTTTGTAGCGTAATAAAAAGTAAAAGAACCTGGCGTAGCAAGATCGTTTAAAGAACATCAAACTTTTACTGCACCAGCTATTACACTTTTCCTTTTTTTTATTTATTAATGTACAATTTTTAAATAAACTATGCTAATTTAATTTAAAGGTTTAAATTTTTTTTAGTTGCATGCAGAATAAAGCAAGTAAGCAAAAAACCTAAAAAAAAATTTTTTTTATTTTAATATTAAATAAATTTCATTTTATAAATTTATTTTTCAGGTTTGAAAAATTTTCTAAACAGAGCCTAATATAAATGAACAATACAAAATTATTAAAATAAGAAAAAGCATAAGTACAAGAGCAAAGCTTTATAATTTTTTTTTTATATTTTAATCTCTTAATTTCAGTCTGATTTAATTAGTTTATTAAATTTTTTAAATATTTATTTTTGATCGCTTTTAATATTAAAAAAACAAATTATTAAATTAATAAGGTTTTCCATTGTTTTATACTAAAATCAATTTAATTAAATTTTTTTTTAATTAAATTTTTTTAATTAAATTTTTTTGCTTTAGCTTTTTATAATTCTATTTATTATAATATTTTATTTGATTTATTATTTAATTATTTTTATTTTTACCTTTTAATTTTGCTTATATTATTTTATACTTATTTTTACTTTAATAATTTAATTAATTGATTTTTGTATTTTGCCTTTTCCTTGCTTTAATTTTTTTTTTGCTTTAGCTTTTTATTCTTTAAATTTTTTTGCTTTAGCTTTTTATTCTTTAAATTTTACTTTTAAATATAAAAAAGAGAAATACTAATTTTTAAAGATCTGTACGCTTCAACAATTAAAAGTATTAATTTAATTCTAATTTTTACAAATACTAATATTGGTTGTTTTGAACAGTGCATAATTAATTCAGGATTAGAAAAACAAAATTTAAATAAAATTAATCAAAAACAAAAATCAAAGAATCCAAATTATAATACAAATTATTAAAATGATTAAAATAAGTTTTAAAACTCGCCATCATTAAATTTTACTTTTTTAAAACTTTAAATTTAAAGTTTAAAATTAAACTATTTTTAGTAGTATTTTTAAGTCTTTTTTTTTTAGCCTTCTATCTTTAGTCTTTAGTCTTTAGTCTTTAGCGTAGAGTAGTTTTTTTTTTAATTTCTAATCTATTATATGTAAGATTTTTATTTTTATTTTTATTTTATTTTTATTTTTTTGCTTTAGCTTTTTATTTTTATTTTTATTTTTATTTTTCTCTGCATAAATCATCTATCCGTATTATTTGTTTACAATTTTATTTAGTTGCCGCTTTAAAGAATATTAAGGAGCAAAAGTTTGAGTAAATTAAAGTATTTTTTGGTTGTAACACAAATTTATATTGAGCCTGCTTCTAATAATAATCAAGCAACACTAATTTATAAATTATAGTTCTTCATGATTGAATTCAAATTAAATACACCTCTTAAAATATACATTATTAATATATAAATTAATTTATTTAAAAATTTGAGTTAAGTAAATTATACAAAAATAAAGCTTTGAATTATAATGATTTTTTAAGAATTATTAATATGATTAATGAGGGTTTACAACTAATTAAAGAAGGTCTCACTAAAATCGAGCAAATAGTTTTAGATGTAATAAACGGCGAATTGATTTTAAATCCTAACCTAAATAAAAAATTTTTGTTTATTATAAACAAAAATTGTATTTAAATTTTATTATAATAATTGGTTTTTGTTCTATTAATTTTATTTATTTATAATTTAATTAAAATTTGAACATAATTAAAATATCTCCTGTACAGAGTACAGAGCACAGAGTATAGAGTATAAAATAAATAATAAATAGTATTTAGTACAGAATAAATAGTATATAGTACATAGTACAGAGTACATAGTACATAGTACATAGTACATAGTACATAGTAAAAGTATAGATCACAAAACAAATTAAAAAAAAAATTTTTTTAATATTATTATTCTAAACTAAACTTATAAATTTTATCTTTTTTATATTTTTAATTTTTAACTTATCTGCTGATTTAGTTTAAAGGTTAAAACTCACTTATCATAAAAGTGCAAAATAGGTTCGATTCCTATAATCAGCTTTAAATTTAAACATTATATAAAAGCTTTAGCTTATTTTACTCTTTCTACAAATATTACTATTTCGACTGCAAAATAAAAAACAAAAAATTTTTTTTATATAATATTTATTATTCTTCAGATTAATGATAAAAAAAAATCTTAAATATTCATTTTTTGGTTCCTCAACGGTATTTGAATCTGATTTTACATCGCTTCTGCCTAGTGCACGCCTAGGCTATGCTCTGCACTGTACAGGCTGTAGAGTATATCCAATCTTGCGTAGCCTTTTTATTTGCTGAATTATTATTTAAAAATTCTTTAAGTTTTTTTAAGTTTTTAATAAAAAATTTTTTTTAAATACTCTTTATATAGCATTATTTTTAGTAATTAATAATATCAAAAATTATTAATCGCTCCGCAAAAATATATTAGTTTATAATCATCAATTTTATTTTTTTCCTTAGCTTTTAGTCTTTAGTCTTTAGCCTTTAGCCATTAGCCATTAGCCATTAGCCATTAGCCTTTAGCCTTTAGCCTTTAGCCTTTAGCCTTTAGCCTTTATTTTTTTTTGTACATCTGTAGGACTTCTACTATTTATTACTTAAAAACTATTCAAATAAATATTTTTTAAGGTTTTAATTTAATTAATAAAATTTAATTAAATAAAAATAATTTAAGTTTTAATTAAGTTTGTGCTACGCCATATTTTTTATTTGAGTCGTAGTTTAATTTGGAAAAACGCCATTTTTTGGCTTTTGATGGTGGATAGTACCGGGTCAATCCGGTTCGACTCATGTTCATAGGGCGGTTTACTAAGTGCACTGTGGCGAGATTTTTTAACCCAATTATTATATTTTTAAGCGTTGCGTCGGTTTACACCAGCCAGCCATAATTTTAAAGTATATTTGAAATTTAAAATTTAAAAACGCTAATTTTATAACCCCTGTTAGAGGGGGCTGCGCACGCATTTTATTTTGGGAATTATAAAAAAAAAAAAACAATGAAAAAAAACACTAGCGTAGCAATAAATTATATAACAAATATTGTTAATTCAGCAAACACTAAAGCGCAAAATGAGTGTACTGCTTTAGTAGTTTGAGGATCTAACTTAAGTTCTAATATTGGGTATCCTAGATTTAATAAAATTGTTGCTTCAATGATTTTATTACCGTTTCAAATTGAAGGTATAATCACAGGTCTTTTACTTAGTGATGCGTGATTAACTATATCTAAAGGTGGAATTAATGCATATTTAGGTTTAGAGCAATCCATGGGTCATTTTGAATATTTATGATATGTATTTAAT